AAAAAAAAAAAAAATAGCCAGTCATGGTGGCGCATACCTGTAGTCCTACCTACTCAGGGAAGCCAAGGTGGGAAAATCACCTAGGCCGGGATCACTCACTGCACACTGCTGCAACTGCACTCCAGTGTGGGCAACAGAATGAGACTCTGCCTCAAAAAAAAAAAGGGCTAAAAGAAAAATCTTGTATGCCTAAGTATGACCCTCCATTTATCTTGAAAACTGAGTTATGCTAAAAGAGATATTAGTATGTTGTGATAGCAAGAGCTCAACCAACAAGAAAAAAGTAAAAGTGATGACTAAAATATACACAGACTTTACTATGAATACAAACTACATCACGGGCCTAGACATCTACTGCCTGCATGAAGAAGGTTAAACTAGAAGACAGTTTAAGAGAAAAGGAAGGAGCTAAGCCACATTGGCTTCCTCCTCAGAAACCAAGGAAAATAAAATGAATTGGGGACATTCAAATCACTCACAGCTTAGTATATAAAAGTCATCATGGTGTATAGGCACACTTAAAAACATGTGAAATAGAATGAAGCTATACTTCTTAAAGCCTTGAATTGATAAAATATGTAGTGAAACAAGATTAAGATGCTAGCATATCTAAAGGGACATTTTTTAAGTTAAATTTCCTTACATTATAGACAAAGTTAACCTCCTTACTGCCAAGTACTTTGAATTCAATAACCAGAGAAGAAGCATACAAAAACATTAAATTTATAAAAAGGTCTGAAATAAATGTTCTGGAGTAATCTTATTCTACTCCATCCCTAAGAATTTAAAATATTAGAAATTACAACAAACTGTTTTTTCTAGCCTTTGGTTTTCAAAAAAAAAAAAAAAATGGTCTGGGCATGGTGGCTCATACCTGTAATCCCAGCACTTTGGGAGGCCGGGGTGGGTAGATCACAAGGTCAAGAGATCGAGGCTATCCTGGCCAACATGGTGAAACCCCATCTCTACTAAAAATACAAAAATCAGCTGGGCATGGTGGCACGTGCCTGTTCTCCCAGCTACTTGAGAGGCTGAGGCAGGAGAGTTGCTTGAACCCAGGAGGTGGAAGTTGCAGTGAGCCAAGATCGCACCACTGCAATGGAGCGAGACTCTGTCTCCAAAAAAAAAAAAAAAAAAAAGGTATAAATTACCCCAAAGTTTTTACTGTAAAGAATATTTTTCTGTCCAAACCATTGTAAAAGCCTGAATCAGAAAATCATATAAGTATAATGATACAGAAATTACACATTTTTTCATCAATTTGTTCTAGAAATATTAGTTGACGCAGACGGTGTTACCATACAGCCCATTTTAATGATCATATATTAATGTGTCATAAAGAACAGAAGTAGCTTGCTGGATGAAATCAGATTCTAACTCCCAATTCCCTGAAGAATCTAAAATTTGGGATTTAATTATTAAATTAGCCCCACCTTCTTAGCATTGACAAATACCAAACCGTTCACTGATTGTGGTTTTAAGAATAACATGTGGAAAGGTCTAATATCAATTGTGGGCAGAGATCTCATGGTTCAAATATTTCCTCTTCTTCAGAAAAAGAGTATGTATGAGTGTGTGTGTGTGTGTGTGTGTGTGCACGCGCACATGCGTGCGGGTGGGTGTGTGTCACCATGTAAGAAATGTTTTACACCTTTCAGTAAAGGGGCAATTCCACAATAAGGTTATTATCAAGTAAGTAAAGTTTATATAGCATCTTGAAATCAAAGGTACTCTATAAATTTAAAATACTAATATTAAAGCAAACAATAATAATTTTAAAACATCTTATAGCCCAAGTGTATTGTAAACCACATAAAAATTCACTGAGGGAGCTGTCTTTTCTTAAGTGATTTTTTTTTCCTCTATTAGGGAACCCAGATCTAAATGAACTGCTAAACACTTAGTCTAAAGGTATGCCAAACATTTCTTAAGGTCTTAACAAAGAATCAAACTTTTTTTTTTTTTAAACAAAATGAGGCCTAGGTTAAATATTTTATTTGGCTTCTCAAGATGGACTGAGAAGTTGGGCACCAGCTCCAGACCAATTCCTGGACGCACTTCAAACACAGTCCTGTCATTTATCCAGTCAGTCAAAACAATCTTTTCCATCTAACCCTTTAATGTTTATGTCCTAAAAAGCTGCTAATTGAATCCAGCTCTTGAGATCTATTTGCTAAAATCTATACTATCTAATTTGTAAATGCTGAATAAAAATTTTAAAAAAGTTAACTTTCCTAGCAAAACAGAAGAGACTCCACTGTAACCAAAGGAGGAAGGACAATGTTTTTAATATTTGTCAAATTTTAAGAGAAAACTATTCAGAGACAAATAGTTGTAAGAAACTCAGAGCACCTCAAACTGCTTTTATTATTAAGAGGACACAGGGTATTTAAAATTCCTCAGAAAAACCTGAAACAAAATCACTCTCTAAATGTAGTTCAGTATTCCCTCTTCCCCTAAAATATAAGCATAATCTTTCCTCTTAACAAACTTCACTTATAAATTTTTATAATGTATCTTAGGCAGTAGGGAAACCACAGATAAACACTTTAAGATCTATTGAGTCATATTAAAAACCTCAACTCATTTATCTGCAGAAAATCAAATCCCTATTTTTTCCCTCATTTTCTCTACATAGCCTAGAGAGAAGTAAATGGCAATAGCCTATTTCTGACGCTTTCTGCATACCTGGGATCACATGTTCTTTCCACGATCACTGACTCCAGATAGCAACAGCAACAGATAAACTCTAAAGCAACAAAGATCCCCCTGAAGGTTTCCATTGACTCCTATCAATATAAGGACATTGAATGCGGGTGGGTAGGGGGAATCCAAGCATCCTCCAATCCAGGTTTTCCATTAAGAACCACTTGGTTAATGATTCCCCGCCAATTTTCTCCAGGGAAAGCAAAACTGTCATGAAGGTAATACTGTATATTATTTAAATTGCAGCCAACATACGTTCAAGCTAAATTCTCAAATACCAAATTCGCTTAAAGTTTTCATCTAGCAAGTCCAGCCTGTGGACTGGGATGACACATAGAGGCATTCAACTACAAAATTAGTCCAAATAAATCTCAAAGTCTAGTGTGGGCAAACATAATTACAGTTTATTCGTACATGTGCACGCACACACAAATCCTCTACGGAAAATTATCTTTCTCGTCACTCATCTGAATATAAACGTGGACAATTTATCAGGGGTAATTGGTGAAGGAAGGATAACGCCATGATCTCAATTACTTTTCAAACCAAATACAAGTTTTCCTAAAATGGGGGTGACATGTCCATGTAATACCAAAAATGGCACTGTAAGCAAAACGTACCTGTAATGTTAAAGATTTCATGCACCTGGAATTATAAACACTTTGTAAGTGTAGTCTTCTATCTGGCAACCCCTCCGGACATTCTTTTCCATTTAGAAAAAAAAGGGGAGGGTGGGGAGAGTAAGAGAAAGTTCGCTCGAAAGTTTGTATGAGCACACACTTAGAAACGTACCCTCTCCCCACCGCCCCCCCCAAAAAAATTGTGTTTTTAAAGCAGGTCTGGAATTAAAAGTGTGACACAAGTTCTGCGGCCTACAAGAAACAACCCCAAACATGCCACCCTACAATCAAGACACTTCCAAAACACAATGTACAATGAGCCTGAGCCGTCGGATCAGACCGGCACACCGGAAAAGTCAACCTCAGTCTCCTCTCCTCAGAGAGAAGTGAGTTGAAGGTGTGTGGCCCCAGCAGCTGTGGCCGGCGGCGGGGAGTAAAGGTTTTGCACGCGGGCATAAGTGGGTGTGCAAGTTAACAACCCGGGAACACACACGCACACCCTCCCGTTAAGCGTTCCGTCTTTACGGAGTGTTTACTACGCGCAGTCAGCAACCGGATTCAATAATCCTCGCCACGGGAGCTCTTCATCCCCTCCACGAGCCCACCTGGGCGGCAGCCCACGAGCCCCGGGAGGCAGCGTCCGGCTCCTCGACCAAGACCTTCCGACCTGAAATCCGCCTGCGACGCGAACCGGTGTATCCCCCTTCCACAAAAGACCGCCCCCCCACCCGCCCCGAGTCATCCTCGGCTATTTACAGAATGTCCAAACCGGAGCGAGTGGTTTTCCTATTACTCTCCCTGAACTAGGCCTTCCCACTCCTCCAACGCCCAGCTCACCATTGATCGCGACCCTGGCCCTTCCCAAGGCCACAGGCACCCCCCGCCAGCTCGCCCATCCCGCCGCGGCCCGGCCCGGCCCGCCGCCCCCCCCTCACCTGTCAGGCGCAGCTTGACGGGCCCGTTCCTCCGGCCTCCGGGGTTAGACATGTCCCTGGCGGCGGGGGCGAAGGGGCGGCGGGCGGGATGGGGACCAGGGACGGGGCGACGGCGAGACGCGGCGGAGTCACAACAGCGGCCGGGGCTGGGGCCCGAGCAGCCGGCGCCGCGGCCGCCGCGGCCGGAGGGTCCCGGATGTGCCGAGCGTCGTCGCCATGAGCCGCGCAGGGAGCGGGACGCCGAGCTCCCCCCTCCTCCCACTTCTCCTTCCTCGGCCCGGGCCGCACAACAAAGCGGCAGCCGCGGCAGTCCGCGCCGCCTCTGCCGGCACCCCCGCCACCTCCTCACGGCCGCCGCGGCCTTTCACTCGTCTCGTCTAGGCAAGGCCCAGTAGCCGATGGGGCTGGTCAGCTAAGGCGGGCGGTGCTCCGCGGCGCCGGAGCAGGACTCTGGGCTCGGCCGCTTCCTCCTCCACCCGCCCTCTTGTCTGAGGGACCCGGGACCTGGGGCTGCCGCCGCCACTCGTCTGCTCCGGAGGGCGGGGAGGAGACGAGAGGCGGGGCCGGCGGGGCGGGGCGGGGCCGGGGCCGGGGCGGGGCCGGCGGGCGCGCGCAGGGTGCCCGGGGCGCGGGGAGGGCGGGGCGAGCTCGGCGTAGACCCCAGCCGTGTGGGAGGTCGTGTGCTGCTGCCCAGGGTCCCACGCGGAACGCGGGGAGGGAGCGGGCAGGGAGCAAAGTGGCGGCGGGGGCGGCAGGTCTGTAGCACCTGGAGGGACTTAGTGTCCGGTCTTCTTAGGGAGAGCTTTTGTCCAAGCAGGGCCAACTGTGCGCAGGGCGCTCGGAGAGGCTGGGGCGAGCAAATTTAGAACCGAGTCCGCTGTCCGCCAGGAACTTGGAGTCTTTCGGGCAAGGAAAGAGACTGCATTCCCACGCCAAGGGTTCCGGCAAAGCCCCAGGTGTGCTCTGCTCCTGATCTTGTAGTTGACGCCTCCATCCGGGACTCACCTGGTAGAGGAGATCGGGTTACCTGCCGACTCTGGCTCTTTTCAGGTGCAGCCAAGGATAGAGAGATGATACTGACGTCTTAAAGGATTAACAAGATAAACCTTGGAGAGTAATGTATGAGGAGTTGTTCATACACTATTGTATGTCGTTATCTCAGGAGGAAAAGTTTTTTTTTAATGTGTACCTTATCCTTTGACCTTGTAACTGTACTGCTAGGATTTTTTTTTTCAGACAGGGTCTCCCTCTGTCGCCCAGACTGGAGTGCAGTGGTGCGATTATGACTCACTGCAGTCTTGGCTTCCCGGGCTGAAGTGATCCTCCCACCTGAGCCTCTGGAGTAGCTGGGATCACAAGCGTGCACCACGACGCTCCACTAATTTTTTTGTTTTGTTTTGTTTCTTGAAGTCTCTGTCGCCCAAGCTGGAGTGCAGTGGCACGATCTCGGCTCACTGCAACCTCAGCCTCCGGGGTTCAAGCGATTCTCCTGCCTCCCAAGTAGCTGGGACCACAGGCGCGTACCACCATGCCCGGCTAAATTTTTGTGTTTTTTAGTTGAGAGGGGGCTTCACTATGTTGGCCAGGCTGGTCCCGAACTCCTGATTTCAAGCAATTCGCCCGCCTCGGCCTCCCAGAATGCTAGGATTACAGACGTGAGCCACAGCGCCCGTCCCTTTTCTTGACAAATAATAATACAGAAGATGTTCTTTGCTAAATTCCATTAATAACAAAAGGGGAATGAGGGAACAGCATAATGCTCCATGAACTGCATGGTTTTTTATGCAGCCATTTAACTGACAATTTTTATGAAGATCACATAATATGGAAGAATTTATATGTAATGCAAACTTTAAAAATAGAACAAAAGTTGTGTGTGTGTACCTGCAGAAGTATCTAGCACAATGTAAATTGCTAAGGACAACAGCGTGAGGGATTTTTAATGTGATTTATTTTGCTTTAGGCTGTTATAACATTAATGTAATTTTAAATGTTTTGGATTAATCCTTATTCCATGCCAGTCGCTGCTTTTAATGCATCAGTGAAGTCGCTTCTCCAGATAGTTACCTCTGAGAGCATTTCATCAGTTTGGATACAACCCTACAATTAAAGTAATCCAAAAAAAAAGCATATGAAGTTCTAGACATCACACTAAAAATATCAGAGATAGGCCAGCACAGTGGCTCACGTCTGTAATTCCAGCACTTTGGGAGGCCAAGGCAGGCAGATCATTTGAGGTCAGTAGTTTGAGACCAGCCTGGCCAAAATGGTGAAACCCCCATCTCTATGGAAAAA